CCAACAAGCTTCAATATTAAAACATGTTTGAAAGATATTACTCCAATCGACCGATTTCAGATATTTATTGATAACTTGGTAACTTGCATTTTTCCAACAGAAGAACTGTTGCACTGGAACTTCAGTTTTATTATATAAGCAGCTCAAATTAGGAGTGAATATGATTACATTATGATCACTAGTACCAATAGGTGGCTCAATACAGAGATTACTGATAAATAAAGAGGAAGAACTCAAAATAAGATCTAAGATGCTATTTTTTCGAGTTGGTTGATCAACATGCTGTGTGAGACTATATCTGTTTATAAAATGTAAAAAAGAGTTATGTATAACACTATCTGGGCCATGATAGTAGTGCCAATCTATATCAGGTAAGTTAAAATCTCCTAGTACGACCACATTTTTTTCGGTTGAACACAAAATAGAGAAACATTTTACACTACTCTGCATATAGTCAATAGCTTCTTTACCGAAACCCCCACTGCGATAATAGCCAATAACTCTGAACGACTGACCAATAAGGTTTAAATCAGCACATACAATTTTCAAGTCATGAAACTCTGGTGGTACGTCAACTTTTGTAAATTGTATAAAACTGCGAAAAAATATTGCTATTCCACCACCTTTACTACTTCTATCACATCGAAGAACAGTGTAAAACCTAGAACATAATAGACTGTCAAGTAGATTTTTATTTAACCAAGTTTCGATAACACAACAAATATCAAGACTGTGTAGATGGACAAAGTGTTGGAAATCAGCAATTTTATTACCTAGACTGCGAATGTTAGTAAGTGCCCATTTCCCACAATAATTGTTTTTTGGATGGTTAAATAACTCTTGGTTTTTTAAATTTGTTAGTTGTCTGTTGTTGTTCTTTTCAATAAACTTGTTCGAGTTTTTAAAGAGTAGATTTTTTGAAAATAGCAGCTGATCTTGTTGACTTGATATGAATTGCTATCTTTTTATGAATTTTACAACTCTTTCATTTCTAATTCCGTAATAGTATTGTAAATCTTTATTATTTTCATTCAATTTAGCACGTTCTTCTCTTAAAGCTTTCATTTTAAGTCTTTCAGCCCTTTGTCAAGTCTGCATTAATAAATATGTTATTAGTTTCTGGTAAATTTCGTAGGGTTTTGGCTGTTTTTAGTACAGCATTTCTTTCTTCTTTGTTGGTTAAAACAACAATTACTGGTGGTGGCTTGTCTGATTTTATACTTAGTTTGAAAACACGCTGGATAGTTGCTTTAGCATTAATCTGATTAAATATATTTTGTATCCCTAATATATCTTCTTCTCTGGCTACATCATCATTTTTGTTTTTAGAGGTATTGAATCCAAAGACTATTAAGTTTTTTTGCCTGAGGTCTCTATCTTGAGCTCAAGATAGAGACCTCAGGCAAAAAAACTTAATAGTCTTTGGATTCTCAAAGAATCTCATGAGATTCTTTAACAACTACATCGACTAAATCCAGTTGGGCTGCTTTGTTACTCTTTTTACCTTTTACTACATCGGACCATGCACAAGCACTCGAATTTAGTACGTTGCTTGGTTGGTTCTTCAGATCGTTCACTAATATTTTGAGTTAAGTAATTTCTTTATCCTTTGTCAAAAGTTCTGCTTCCAATTTTAATACTCTACTTACTAGAGCTTCAAAGTCTTCTTTTCTTACCATTTTTGTTAACGTTAAATTGAATAAATATTTTCAATTTGGGCAAAAAGTTAAAGTTATAATATTTTATACAAAACTTAGGCTGCCATCATTTAAAAAATATATGCAAGACCGTTGCATCACGGGGTTGCTAGGGACTTGCTCATTGCTGTGGTCGAAAAAAGATGTATAAATAGTAATAATAATAATAATAATAATAATAATAATAATAATAATAATAATAATAATAATAATAATAATAGCAATAATAATAATAACAATTATAATAACAATAATAAAATTATATATTTGTATGAAGTAGAAAACGCTTGAGACTAGGAGAAGTCTTTTTATCGAGAACTATTAGAATATAAAATAAACAAAAAATCTAAAAGCAATCCTATAAAACATACATAAACATTTTGGGGTCTACTAAACAGTAGTTTTTAAAGTATAGTTCAACTATACTTTAAAACGTATATATAAACGTTTATATAAACGTAAAAGATAAATAATAACAAAAAATAAATAAATAAAAATAATAAATAGCAACTATTAGTTGTTATTTATTATTTTTATTTATTTTTTGTTATTATTATTTATCTTTTACGCTTAATACAAATCGATAAAATTGGTTTTGTTAATTATGAGGTTTTTAAGCTTTTTCTTCTTCTAGCTCTTCAGAAGTTTCTTCAGAGCAAGAGAGTTATACAGTTCTATACTTTGAGGTAATATTTTATTATGTAAGTAGGGACCACGGTATACAGTTGAAAATCTCGAGAATTTTTTATTTATTTTTAATGGGCAATGTGAAGTTTCCTATTTCTCGTGTGATATATATGTTTGTATTTGTAAAAAAGGTATTGGTACATATATTATTTCTCGTGTGATATATATGTTTGTATTTGGAAAAAAGGTATTGGTACATATATTATTTCTCGTGTGATATATATGTTTGTATTTGGAAAAAAGGTATTGGTACATATATTATTTCTCGTGTGATATATATGTTTGTATTTGGAAAAAAGGTATTGGTACATATATTATTTCTCGTGTGATATATATGTTTGTATTTGTAAAAAAGGTATTGGTACATATATTTTAGCATAAATAAAATATTTTGATAGATGATAAATTGATACTTAGTCTGCCAAGAAAAATAGCGAATTTTTAGATTCTCTTGATAAAGTTCTCTTGGTTTAACTTTGTAGACTATTGATTTTATTTATGAGGGCTTCCCAAGAAATCTTTTCATCAATATCCCAAGAAATTTAATTGTTTCTGTACTTTTGATGTGTATATTATCAGTTTTTAGTAACAGTAACAAGCATGATATGTTGTTTTTCTTCTGGTTGGAATGAAATAAGATGTATTTCGTTTTTTCTGTACTTAAAGATAATTTATTTGCTTTAAACCAGATATTTATGTTTTCAAGGTGATTTTCAAGGTGTACACATATTAGTGTGGGACTTTGATTGAGCTGACGAATAAAACAAATTTGTGTCATCGTCAAACATAATTGCATCGAGTTTTTTTAAAGGATTGTGCAAGATCGTGAATATAAATTAAAATTAATTTTTTAAATAGCAGATCAACTTTACTTTTAGCACTTTACATCAAAAGAATATAAAGTTGGAAACAATCATCTTTCCAACTTTATAATTTTTTGATGTAAAGTTTTAGAACAAACTACTTTTCACGCCTTTGCATAACGCCTTGCCAGAAAATAAAAAAATCTTCATCATGATATAGTCAATCAAAATACCATACGTGTGAAAATGAATTGTTGTATTAAAATTTTATATATAACTTTAACATCGTTTGTTAAAATGTTTCACTACATTTGTTGAAATGCAGTCTTTTTCAAAAAATTTTCATTTTGAGGTATAGTGAAGTGGAGAGAAAGTCTTCACTTCAATTAAAAAACTTAAAAAACTGTTGATTTATGGCAAAATATTGAAATTTATATGAAATCTATCTTTTTTTAAAATTGAAAAATCATTTTATTAATAAAATTGAAACTCATATTTAGTATCTTAAATACTTAATTCTCATAACAGTAAAACTTCCCTAAACTCCCTCAACAAAAGGGAGGATAACAAAAAACTAGATATTATTGCCTCAAAAAAAGTAAATAGAAAATTAAATATGTTAAATTTTTAAGTTTAAAATGTTTTCAAAAGAACTGCATTTCCGGAGCACAAACGAAATTTTTAATACCAATAAAAATGTAACTGAAAAAAACAAATTATTTTGAATATTTTGAAATTCTAAATCTAAATTGATACAAAGTTTTATAAATTAGACAAAAAATTTTTTTTTTTTACGTCAAGCACGCTTTGAAAAACGCGTTAAACTTGATACGCACATACCAATAAATAGGAATTTTACATCCAACCAAGTAATACGCAATGATTTTTTCTCAGATACGTAAATGCATTTAAGTAAAATGTATTTGGTCCTGAAAATCAGGTAAATATCCGTCATATTGAAATAAAACATGTTTTATTTGTTTTGACGTAATTAAATCGAAGGACTGAAAAAAACTATTGCTTTTCTGAGACCATGTATTGCATAGAAAAAAATAGTAAAAAAATTTACAAATGTTCTCAAAAATGACTGTGCAAAGAATTTCAATAGTTTTTTAAATGCAATTGAAGAACTTTGTGCTAAAAGTACTTAAGTCACATTTTAGCACTAAGCTTTTCAATTCGAAGTTTAAACTGAATTTATTGTTTCAAAAACTACCACAAGTAAGTTGCAGTATGTTCTTTTGCATGTAAATTGCAGTATGCTCTTGTGCGAGTAAATTGCAGTATGTTCTTGTGTAAGTAAATTGCAGTATTTTCTTATGCAAGTAAATTGAACTATGTCCTTTTGCAAGTAATTGCAGAATGTTCTTGTGTAAGTAAATTGCAGAATGTTTATGTGAAAGTAAATTGAAGTATGTTTTGTGCAAAA